TTATTAAACAATTAAGTTCTCATAGTAAGCGCACACTGCAGCCCATGCGTGTTTATGCGTGGGTGCTTGTGTGTGTATGTGTTTGTGTATGTGTGTGTATGTGTATGTGTGTGTGTATGTGTGTGTGTGTATGCGTTTGTGGGTGTATGCGTGTGTGTGTGTGTGTATGTGTGTCTGTATGCGTGCATGTGTATGCCTGTGTGTGCGTAAGCTGAAAGACGCGAAAAATTATTGAAATATCTATTGCTCCAAGGGTTCAGGGGATCTCGTAGTCGAGCAGTCTCGACTAGAGCTTTCTTACTTGTTAATTTTGAACTTTTATTTATTTATGATTTTATTTTTGTTTTATTTATTTATTTATTTTTATGTAACTAGCTTTTCATCTACCTTAGCTACATCAGCTCACCTTTTAGTTCTCCTTATTCTCCTCGTCAACACCTGCTCCATTTCTCTTCTCGATCATTAAAACATTTTCAATCATTCTTTTCCACTTAGTATAAGTTCCATCTTTCTTATTAGTTAATGTCAAGCTAAGCACATTTTTCGCATCTCTATGTCAGTTCTTAATGATTGCTGCTCCTTTATTTAAATGCTCTAACTACTCCGTAAATTCACTTTCCAATTTACGGTATTTCATGCCCGCATAATTTAAGCAAACGCATTTGAAAGTCAAGCGTTGACAGCAGAAGAAAAGAATATAAAATGAGGCAGAAAAGTAAAATTAAATAAAAATAAAAGTTCAACTCGAGCTCAAACTTGTTGCTGCCGCTGCGGCCGTTGATTAGAAAGTGAAATGACGTCATGCGTTATAGAGCTAGCCTGATTTCAGTGTGATTTGGCCAATCAAAACGAGCTACACCCACACACCCACACATACAAATACACACACACGAGCATACAAAAGAGGTGGAGTCTGTGAGGCAGAAAGAAACAAACAGAGCAAAAAAAAAAATCACTTGTAGCTTTTATATCCTTGAACAAATTTATCTCGCTACGCACACTTGATAAATACAATTGAATATGTATGTAGCTATCTATCTACTCATGTGTGTGTGTGTGTTCTGTCTCTGTCTGCTGGCTATAAAAGGCGCTGGCCGTGCGACAGGATCTCGCAGTTGCCGTTGCGTTTCGATTGCGCATACGACGCGTGTGCTAAAACATTGTGAATTTGTGAAGAAGTGCATTAAAACTGAATTGGATTACCATTGATTATTTAAGCAGATATATATTGAAAACTATATAGTTATATCGATTATGAGTGCATCGGGCAAGAGTCTTTTGGGCCTGTGGCTATATCGCAGCGGTGAGCAGGAGTGGGCCGTCAAGCAGGGCAGTCCGCTCCACACTCCACTCAAAAAGGACTCCAACTCATCCCCGTCCCCGTTGCCGTCCACCACCTCGTCCTCGTCTCATGCCACTCTCTCACGGCACGCCTCCGCGCCAGGTGACAACTTCCTCTTGTTCTCCAACAACAAGCAGGCTGGCGCCACGGACGCAGTGCAGCGCTCGCATGTGCCCGGCGAGCGCATCTCCATTTTGTTCACTCTCAAGAATCAGGTGGGCAATCTGGCACGCGCTCTGCAGGTCTTCCAGGAGCTGGGCATCAATGTGCTGCACCTGGAGCTGTCGCCCCTGGAGGTGAGCAGCAATCAGGCGGATGTCCTGGTGGATGTCGAGTGCGATCCCCGTCGCTTGGATCAGGTGGTGAAGATGCTCAATCGCGAGGTGGCATCGGTCAACTATACGTCGGTGAATGCTCACAGCTTGGCCCGGGCACCGTCTCTATCCGCCTGCTCCAGCTTTGGTGAGTAGCAAGTGGAAGTGATTAAGGAGAGATTATCGAAAGGTGCCACTGGCAAGCGAGGATTGCTATTTATAGATATTTGATATATTTTATTGAATCGTTTATAAAGTGAGCTAAGCTGGGCTCATAAAAAACAGCCAATAGATTTTAATGTCGCTGAAGACTCACAAAATACAATTAAAAAAACTGTTAAAATAATGCATTGGTAGTTTATATCAATAAATTAGCCAAAGTCTGTTTCTATATTTTCTATGTTTAAGTGAAAACTAAAGACTAAACTTAGTGAAATTTGAATAACAGAAAACTATTTCAAATAAACTGCAACTAAAGAAATTTTATGTATAAATAAAAAGCTATAGTCTGCAGTGCCTCTAAAACTATCCCATCTAATAAGCTATACAAATTAGAGATCCCAAACAGAAATCACTTGACAACTGATACAGCTTAGACTCTGACCTACCTCTATCATCTATGGCTATGGCAGCTTTGATAAGGCATTTCTATATTATCTATCAAGCTTGCATCAAGCTACCAAAATCTTGAACTTGAAAACAAATATATCAAATCACAGACTATTCACTGACTGAGACTCTAAAACTTTTCTTTATCTATTCATTTTTTTTTTTTTTTTTTAATTTTATATTTTCTGCTTTTTCGACAGCAAAGAGTTATGATTTGACTTTTATGTAAAAATTGATCTGTAATAATTATTTTTGATTTTTATCATATAAATTATTTATAATTAAAAATAATTAAAAAAAAAATACAAATAAATGTTTATTCTTTTTTTGAATTAGCCGGGCTTCTTTTGAGCCTCGATGTTTTTTTTTTCATCTCTTATTTGCGGTCCCTAGTTAACTGATAAACGGTAATTTCTTATAAGAATGTTGGGTCGTAGCCGTAGCTGATTAAATATAATAATCAAAATTCTAGCTTACAGTTAATAGAGTCCATATTATTATCATAAATTTCTGCAACAGACTTTGGTGACATGGTTTGGTTTCCGCGCAAGATCTCCGACCTGGATCAGGCGCAGAATGTGCTCATGTATGGCTCCGAGCTGGATGCTGATCATCCCGGCTTCAAGGATCCCGTCTATCGCAAGCGGCGCGAACAGTTCTCGGCCATAGCCAACAATTTCAAGCAGTAAGTCAGCTCTCTAATCTATTGCACATTCAGTTCCAAACTGCTTTCTCCCTCTCCCTTAGTGGCAATCCCATACCCCGGGTTCAATATACGCCGGAGGAGGTAAAAACTTGGTAAGTGCAAATTTAATTCAATTTTAACTGTTTTTGTTTATGTTTGGCAACTTTGTTTCGTGCGTGTGTGTGTGTGTGTGTGTGTGTGTGTGTGTATGTGTGTGCATGTTTTAGGGGCACTGTTTTCTTGGAGCTGCATCGCCTGTATCAGCTGCACGCGGTGCCGGAGTACATGGAGAACTGGCCGGAGCTGGTCAAGTTCTGTGGCTATCGGGAGGACAACGTGCCCCAGCTGCAGGATGTGAGCAGCTATCTGAAGCGTAAGACGGGCTTTCAGCTGCGTCCCGTTGCGGGTTATCTCTCGCCGCGCGACTTTCTCTCCGGGCTGGCCTTTCGCGTGTTCCACTGCACGCAGTACATCAGGCACTCCTCCGATCCCTTCTACACACCTGAGCCGTAAGTGCGAGCGAGTGTGTGTGTGTGTGTGAGTGTGTTTGTTTGTTAATTGTGTTATCCTTTTCCAGAGATTGCTGTCACGAACTTTTGGGTCACATGCCGCTGTTGGCCAACTCGAGCTTTGCTCAGTTCTCACAGGAGATTGGCCTGGCTTCTCTAGGCGCCTGCGATGCGGATATTGAAAAGTTAGCCACGGTGAGTTGAACATTGAATACACCTGCTCGATACTTCTTCGTTATCTGCTCTTGTTATCTCCTTTACAGCTCTACTTTTTCACCGTGGAGTTTGGCCTGTGCAAGCAGTCGGAAGGCACCTTCAAGGTCTTTGGCGCCGGCCTGCTCAGCTCGGTGGCGGAGCTGCAGCACGCTATAACGGCACACGACAAGATTAAGAAATTCGACCCGGAGATAACCTGCAAGGAGGAGTGCATCATAACATCCTATCAGAATGCCTATTACTATACCGATTCCTTCGAGGAGGCCAAGGAGCAAATGCGGTAGGCAGACTCTGCTCATATACGAAACTCTGCTTTAGCCATACCTTCTCCCCCTTCTTCACAGCTCCTTTGCCGAGAGCATTCAGCGTCCCTTTGGTGTGCGCTACAATCCCTACACGAGCAGCGTTGAGGTGCTCTCCAATGCACAGAAGATAACCGCAGTGGTCAGCGAGCTAAAGGGGGATCTCAGCATCGTCTGCGCTGCGCTGCGCAAGATCTCGGCCACGGATGAGAATCTCGACGTGGACAGCATAGCGAATATGCTGCACAAGAGTCTCAATGTGCGTGCCGCTGGATCAGGAGGCGGCAACAGTCCAGATAATACCGAGAACTATATAGCTGAGGGCGACTAAAGCGCGATGAGAGAGAGAGAGAGAGAGAGATGGAGATGGGAATCGAAGTGAAAACGTTGTTGGGACCATAAGCTATATATACCAGATGTTACAAAAATATATACAAACAGATAAATCTCTATATATATACACATATATTGATGTCTAAATGTTTGGCAAATACTAACTTTATTTCAACTTATGCCTAATAATTACATCTTAGCTCTAAAAAACTTAAATAAATTTCAACTCTTTGTGTGTCTTAGTCAAGTTTTAAATGGATTTAGTAGGGGAGGAGATGGAGAGCCTTTGCGAAGAATTTGTGGCGAATTTAAGTTATATTCTGTATAACGAATTCTTTTTAGGGTGAAAAATAACTTTTTCAGACTGGAGCTACATTCCATTTCAGATCATATAATAAAACATTCGTATATGAACACATGTCCTAGGTTGATCTTAAATTAAAGCTATTAATCTAACAGATTCGGGAATGCTCTTCAAAGTAAAAGATAAGGTCAACCAAATATAAAATGTTCTACATTTATTTCTTAGCAATAAAAGCTCGATTAACACAATTCTATTTCGTGAATCTTAATATAAAAACTTTTTTTGTTTTTCATTTATGTGAGCTCATCAGATTTGTAAACATTAACTAGATTTTGAAGCAGTCATTCCTCTGCCTATGATAAAGTAGTCTGATTTAAACAGAAATTAAACTTAAAGACTCGCAATTGCACAAGTTTGAATAAGTTTATCATATAAGATCTAGATTGTCGGTCATATATATAACTGACCTCTATGTGATATAGTTAATCGATTCGATTAGCTTTTATATATGCTACGCCGGCAGTCAAATGCCGTAGCTGTACAAAGTTTCATCAGCTTAGCTGCCCGCCGAGTCGAGTTCCGATAGGCGGACAGGCAGACCGTCTATATAGGGACTATATGTATTGGGCGATTTCTCTGCCCTTGGGTGTTATACAATTCGTTAAGTATACATATTAACCGATTCTAGGGCATACACAGTTAAGCCTAAGCAGTTCGAAGCGCCCTCGAGCTATTTGTAGATCATATCACAGTCGCTGTTTAGAAAGAACTTTCGGCTGATGTAGCTGGACGTGTACTCCAGCAGCCAGTTGGGTATGGTCCAGACGGTGAAGCTGAGCGCCAGCTTGCGCCACTGCGCCACAATGTGGGGCACGTCGTACAGCCAGCTGCAGCGATTGCCCATGCGGCTGGTCACCTGGTTGGTCACCTTGCTGGTGACACCGCGCACCACGTCGCCTGCCAGGCCCGTGACGCTGACCTTGCGCCTGCGCTTCGACTTGGGTGAGCCGCTGTCCTCCTTCAGCGAACGTCGCGATCCTCGATGCTCCAGCTCGTTCTTCATCTCGACGCGTGGCGCAATCTGTATGCGATCGACTGTATCACAGATTTCCTCATTGCTTATCAGAATGCCAGCAACGATATACATCAGCTTAAATACTCTGCAATGAGCCGGAAGTGGAACAGAGATGGAGAGAGAGTGAGAGTGCGAGTGAGAGTGAGAGTATTAGCATTCGGCTATCTGTGCACATGTTCAGTTCCTTTRGTGCTCACCTCACTGTATGGGAAATCATCGCAGCGCGACGAGTTCAAAAGTTGCAATGCGACTTGATTTCTAATTTTTTTTGCGTGCACTAAGCGCGGCGACTTATCAGTCAGGCGATTATATAGCGCTATATTTGTGTATATATTTAAAATATATACTATAATTGGTCTTTTTTCGGTTTTTATGGTGTGCTTTAAAGGCTGTTTTACACTTTTTGTAGAATTTTATGATGTTGAGTCTTTTGGTTTTTAGGTATTATTCATATATATGCATATGTGTCTGGGTTGGCAGCACATATAATAATTAATTATATTTATTAATTAATATTTCATATTACTTTGTAGTTCATTTGACAATTTAAAAATTATGCTTGATTTAAATTG